AAAATGACAATTTGTAAAACATGTAGTAAAATAAATCCCTATTAAATATTCAATATATCTAATAATAGATAGTGAATCAAAACTTACATAAAATTCAAGTCTTCATTAGGGACCCATTTTAGTACGTTGGGATGAAATATAGAGTTGTATAGCACAATCAAAAATCCATAAGTGAGAAATATTAGGTTCATAACCAAATGCAAGTTGTAAAAGTGAATATTAATAGAATAATGATTGTGGTACACCGAGGTGTCCAACGGGGTGTCCAAAATGGACACCCGGCGCCTCGGTATTGGCCAAGGCGCCAGTGGACCCCTGCGTGGCGGGCGGCTCGGCCAATGCCGAGGCGCCGGGTGTCCATTTTGGACACCTCGTTGGATACCGTAATGTACTCATAGCATGATTGATATTAATAACATGTAGATGGTTTTATGGAACCAATGATGTATATTGTAATATAGCATGACCCCAAATAGAAATTGGGAGTTATGTTTTCATTAATAATGGTCTAGCAATAAGTTATAGGCATTTAACAAACGATTTCGCTAATCTATTTTGTGTGTAGACATGTGCAACTGAATGTTCAATAAAAATCTCATTTGACATACAATAATCATCGAATGTTTAATCTAAATTCACTAGCATTATCAAGATGAATTGTCTTAATCGACTAATCGGGAATTTGAGTTTGTAATTTTATGATATGAGTAAGGAGTCTAACAAAAGCTACATTCTTAGTGAAAAGTAGGGAAATATGAGACCATCTAATAGAAGAATCTATTAATACAATAAAATAAAAAAATCGTCCATATGATAGGTGTATTGGCCAACATATATCTCCATGAACTCTTTCTAAAAAGTTGGAGATTTAATATTGACATTAGTAATTGAAGTTCTAATAATTAACTTACCTTGCAAAAAAGCTACACGTGGATAATCATTAGGTAAAAAAAAAAAAAAACTTTTGGTTCTTTAAATGATGTTCATGTGAGTTGTTTATTATTCGACTCATCATTATAGTCCATGGATGTTCAAATCAATCATGCAAAAGTGTAAAACTTTTTGGATCAATGAATTTCTACTTCGTGAAAATATTTGATTCAGCGATTTTTATAAATACATAATACATGTCAGACGGGAGTGCATGACTTTTTTCTGCCTACATCTGGCTAGATGGCAGATACAAAAGAAGTTATGTAAAGATATTTAATATTATTTTTTTGCATCGTTTCAATGTGATATCCATTGCAACAGATACTTTAAAACTAAGCAAATTTCCTCTAGATTTGCTATAATAAAATGCACCATCAATATATAATATTACATTATTTGATAAAATAATACAAGCTCTTTCTGAGTCTTCAACGATATTTGATGTACATAATATCGTATTAACATTATTTTTAGCTAATATTAAGTCCAAAAAAAATATTTTTTTATCTTGAAAAATAGTATGTACAATTGCACTATCAATCAAACAGGTGTCTTGACAATCCATGAATTTATAAATATAACAAAATGTATATATTTCAAATTAACAATGCATAATAAAATTTCAAATTTTTGCGAAAAATAAAAATATATTTCAAATTGAATTTGTAAAACAAAGGGAAATACTAAACAGTAAACTAATCTATATATTGCATCATACCACCACTAATCAAATGGTCACTATTCCCATTTAGATCAGGAAAGAAATCGGAGACATCAAAATGAGTCACGTCAATTTGATCATCATAATTAGCAAAATTTACCTCTACTTTGCCCTTCCTTGATTGATTTTGGTAGAGATCCACAAAGTGTTTTTCCATACAACAGCTATGTGCCCAATGCTCTTTCTTTTCACATTTAAATCAATTTTCTTCGTGTTCCTTTTTTGATGTGCTAATTTTGTTTGTTTTTTACCTTTTGAAATTGTTACCTTGTAACTAATAACTTTATTGATTATTTCAATCATGGTTTATTTCATATCCATATTCGCGTCCACGTCGAAATTCGTGTTCACATCCACGAATTGATATTGCATTTACTTCAGCAATGATATAGATCCAATTGGAAGTAAACCATTATGTTTCATCAACAATTTATTATTTTGTTCAGATACATGTAGACAAGACATGAGTTCTGAGTACTTTTTAAAATCATGCTCACAACATTGCTACTGTATGAGCACATTTGAGGCAAATATGGAAAAAGTTTTCTTCAACATACATTCATTAGTGATTTTCTCCACACGATGTCAATTTTGAACATATTTCAAATAATTCAAAAGTGTATTTACTAATAGTTTTAAAGTCTTGTAAATGAATGTATAGCTACTCATAACGGGTTTTGAGGAGGAATATAATTTGCCAACGATCAAATCTTTCAGTCAATTTTTTCAAAGAACGTGTGGATCTTTTTCAATGAGGTATTCAATTTTCAATCTATGAGGTATTCAATTTTCAATCTATCATGAATACGATGACGAAGCAAGACAAGTGCTTTTACATGATCCTACAAGAATTCTTTATTTATTTTATTTTATTATCTCTTCTAGACCTTTTGAGATAAGATGGATATCAATATCGAGAACCATGACATATAGCTTTTCCAAGATATGTCAAGTACAACAAACTCAAAGTTTGTAATGTTTGCAAATTGATATAGACAATAAAGAAATGCAATTAGTTTTGAAAAATATGATTAAACATTACATAATTACATAATAATTAATCAAGTACTTAATGTCAACATGACATAAGTTATATGTTTTCATTTAGTGTTAAACACTAACACAATATATTTTCGAAACATCTGCTACTTCAAGATCTCGTTTCATTTTACTATTGCTTCTTCAAGAACAATATGTCAATATTCTTTTGGAATATTGAGAATTATAATTTATACTCTTCAAAAGCAAGTAATATTTTTCAAAAATATTAATTACAATGTTTTGCTCTTTCATGAGCAACAACATGATATATTATCATGATAGAACATCTAAAAATGTTTAATTAGATTACAAACAAAAAAAATATTCAATAATCTTCATGAACTTATAAATAAATCAAAGAATATAAAATTGATTCTTGCTTTTGTAAAATCATTTTGCATACGGATAAGTATGAATTGATGGTCTCGTATATGAATTTAAATTTTTTTCGTAAAATTTACAAAAACATGTATTTAAATAGACACAATCTTCGTGAATTTGCTAACATATAAACAACCATATATGCAAAAAGGTAATCATTGATTCATTAGTGGGAAAAAATTAATCATGCGTTGAAAAGTAAATTTTATGCATGCACATAAGAAAACTTGTGAGTTGATGGCGGCAGAAGCATGAAACATAAATTCACATTAATTATTATAAAAAAATTCGCGTGATACCAAATTAATTTTGGTACACTTGATAGATAATTAAAAAATTACTACATTTTCTGAACTCTGAAGAATTAAGTTTTTGTGCTGATAATGTGTTATAAACTATCGATAAAGCAAAGAAATCAATAAATTTGTGTATTATAATGAGAACCAAAACTCCATATTTATAGGGAATGATAAGAGATATTTACTACAATAGAGATTTATTTAGAGCATTATGTATATAAAAGTAATGTGAATATAAATATTTGAATGTAATGTGGATGTATATACAGAAAAATCTCGATAAATGAATATTTGATAAATTATTAATCTTGTTTAAATAGTAAACTTTTTCGGTCCCGACTTAGACCAATATAGTAAATTAATAATCCTGTTAAATGCATAAGATAATAATATTTTTTGAGATCCTTTAAGCTCAATGATTATATAAAATAATAAATTCTTAAATTCATAATAATACAAATCAATAAACTTTTAATTTGATAATATTTTCTTTCAATTCGCCACTTTATCAAAAATATGCATTTGTTTGAGTCACATTATTTTCATAAGAATTTATTTTTGAATAGTGTATTGATAAGAAATGTGTGGTTAAAAAATAAGAAAAAATTTTGAATTTGCATGTAATATTATTTTATTCAAGAATGTGTGGTTGAATTAATATCAAATAATTTAAACATATAATTTTTTGAAAAAATGTGGCTCAAACATAGCCTATATATCTACAGTCTTTTGCCTTTTCATTGAACCCAAACTAAAGTCAATTTTATCCCTAATTTGTTTTAATTCACATACTATATTTAGCAATTTTTTTTTCCATTTTGTACAAAGTTATTATTTAACGTTTCAACTGTTTGAAATACCTCTTCTGAAGAGACAATCGGTAAAACACAATTATCATGCATCTAGGTCATGATCATCATTGATATGTCTATTGAGTACCCCCTGTAAAAATATAATACAAGTTATAAAAACATAAAATACTTTATAAATTAATAAATTATTTATTTATCTATAAACTAATAAATTATTCAATTATTGATAAATTAATAAAATAATAATAATATTTCTCGGTTCCAACATTATTATTTTATAGAGGTCTTACTGTAAGTTTTTTTTTTTTTTTTAAAGAAAAATGCTAATGGAAATATATTTAGTTTTTGTTTGGTGGAGATTAAAATGAGAGATTTTAATAAAAGTTTATGAAATGTGTGGTTGAAAAATTATGGTCTCATGAAGTATGTGATTAAAATTAATTATTGATTTTAATTTAAATTAAAATTTGAATTTTTACCAAACAGAGCTTAATGATAAAAAATGATAGAATGAAAATACTGATTCCAAAACTAATAATCAATGCGAGGCATGATTCCTCATTCAGGAAGTGGCCATGTGGATAAATATGCTATCCTAGCCTAAGTCACAAGCAAAGAAGAGTGTATTATTGGTCAAGAAAGTTAGACCCAATAATACTTAACAGCTTCTTTCTTAAATTTTACAAAAAAGCGACGATCAAACAGGGTAAAGACAGCTGAAAAGGGACAAGGACTTATGGAAGGAGAGTAAGTGAATGACACACCACACTTTCAACTTTAGTGAATAATTATATTCTATAGCCTTAAAGTGGGAATCGACTGTCGTACATTTGCAATTCCATGAGCAAATTCTTTATCTTTCATCCCTTCCCACTTAAGTTTCTACTGCAAGAAGTACTATTTAAGAAGAATGACATGGCTTATTACTCTGCACCGTATGCGAGTATACCGATGGGAAGAGTCTTCAGCAGAATTTCTGATTTCTTCAATTTTGGGCGAAGAGACAAATCAGTTGGCAACAAAAGATCTACTAACCAAGGCGTGGAAATGGAAGAGATTCAGTACCCGAGTCCCCTTTGTCTTTCATCATCTTACTACAGTGTTTTCGTTGTTCGTCTTGCCATTATGGTATGTGGGATTTGTTTCTATGTGATATTTCAAGTAAGGAAACATTGGCATGCAGGGAACATGCTTGCTATACTGCCTGTTTGGGTAATTACGAGAATAATCTGGTAGAAATTTGATTTGCTTAGGTGAAATTTAGTGAAAGTTGAAAGTTGGGTAGGACTGTAACACTGGACTGTACAGATTTAACTTCTTTCTCTTTTTCGTTCACTTTAACAAACATGCTATAAATGGATATATTAAGGATAATAATGAAAAGACGTAAATAGATGGAAGAAAGTTAAAATGGGCATATAGGATTTTAGTCTCTATATTAGAAGTTACAGTAGCATATCCGAATTTTTGTATTGTTTTGGATCATCAATTCAATTGGCTTAAAATCTTCAACTCCAAATTCAAATTTGAAAGGCGCCTCATGAAAGTGAAATATTACTTGAATAAGAAACATACCTTTCATACTTTTGTAGTGGTTTTTTCTCCAGGATATGATTCCTAAATATCTTCGACAATTCTTTTGGTTTCCTATGAGAATGTGTTGGCTATTATTTAAATGAATCTATTTACCATTTAAAAAATTCAAGATAACATGATATTATCACGCACTTTATTTCAAAAAGCAAGGTGAGGAACCAGTTGAAGAGGAGGGTCATCTCTAGTTGCACTGTAGGACTGTTCTTGCTTTCCTATGGCTGATTTATTGTCCATATCTTCGACAATTCTTTTGGTTTCCTATGAGAATGTGTTGGCTATTATTTAAATGAATCTATTTACCATTTAAAAAATTCAATATAACATGATATTATCACGCACTTTATTTCAAAAAGCAAGGTGAGGAACCAGTTGAAGAGGAGGGTCATCTCTAGTTGCACTGTAGGACTGTTCTTGCTTTCCTATGGCTGATTTATTGTCTCACTGGTTTATCTTATGTCTTGGAGAATTGGAGGATGGTTCTCAAAATATTTGGTTTTTGTATAGAACCTATGCTTTTCTGAAACTTGTGTGTCTGTACATGAGGAGCTTTATCCAGATAGTCTTAGTTTTCATTTTTTAATGTTTTTATGCAGGTTATGCTGGCAATTTTGATAGGCTTATTAACATTACTGACATGGCATTTTACCAGAGTCTACACAACAAGATCATTAAATACATTAGCATATGAACTTCGTCATGAACTTCTACAGCGACCCATGTTACGAATGTGGAACGTCCTAAATACTACTTTAGAAGTAGCAACTTCTCAAGTCAAGCTTTCAGAGTATGTTATCAGGCGTTACAAGAATCCTGTTAACCAAGCACAGCAAGCTGAGGTCATTGCTTAGCTTTCTAATCTTTTTGAAAGTTAGATGATTTAGTGATTTCAATATGGTAATAACCACCGACTCAACCCTATAAAGATAGGCTTGTTTTCCCTTTTCGTATCTCCCAAATTACAGGTCACTTTCTTTATTGAGAGTATAGTTAATTTTTTTCTTAATATTTTAATATGCCCCTGTTTAATATACTTATCAACAAATATGAATTATTCCTATTTAAGTCATTATTTAATATGGGGGTATATTAGGAAAAAATTATATTTCCAACTATACTAATTACATTTTCTTAATCCGTGTGAAAATGGAAGCCGCCTATTTTTGTGGGACGGATGGAGTAAGAAAGTATTTCTCATTTAAATTTGTAATCATCAGCAGCTTTATGAAGCTATGAGGGATGTGACATGGGCATTGTTTGCAAGTCGAAGAGCTCTTAATTCAATAACAATAAGCTATAAAAATGGCTTTGTCCAGGCTTTTCATAGAAATCACAAGAGTAATAATACATACTACATATACTCTGATCTAGCCAACTACTCAATAAGTGGTGTATATGGTGTCAATATGCTTTCGTCTCATCAAGGATGGAATGATCAATCTATACACAATAACATGTCTGCAATTTGGTATCGAGAACCTCTGGATCCTGTGAGTGGAGAGAAAATTGGAAAACCAAAGAAAATCCCGCCCGATGAGTTAATCAACATTGCTGGAATTTCACAAGTGCCTGATGGTACAGCATCATGGCATGTTGCAGTAAGCAAACACACAGATTCACCATTGCTTTCAGCAGCATTGCCTGTTTGGGATCCATCTCATAAAAGCATAGTTGCTGTTGTTGGTGTGACTAACGCGCTTTATAGTGTTGGACAGTTGATGAAAGAACTTGTTGAAGTCCACAGTGGACACATATATTTAACCTCTCAAGAGGGTTGGTTACTTGCTACTTCCACCAATACTCCTTTATCAATGAATTCAACAACAGGGCCCAAGCTCATGATGGCTGCTAATTCTGCTGACAATGTGATACGATCTGGAGCCGAGTGTTTGCAGAAGACATATGGCAGTAAATTTCCATCTAGCCAGGAAGTTCACATAGAAAATGCAAGGCTTGGCAATCAACTGTATTACATTGATTCCTTCTTCCTCAACTTAAGGAGACTTCCTATGGTATGTTATCAGTACAAATTCACACCTTCTTGAGTTAAAATCCGATGCCTTTTGCTAGAAACATTTGTTATTAATTCTACGATCTTTTTGATGGTGAATCATAATAACAAGCAACTCATTACAGGTTGGCGTTATTATCATCCCAAGGAAATATATAATGGGGAAAGTCGATGAGAAAGCTTTTAAAACACTGATGATTTTGATAGCAGCGTCTCTATGTATAATAGTAGTTGGATGTATCTGTGTCTTCATATTGACAAATGGAGTGTCAAAGGAAATGAAATTAAGGGCCGAACTGATAAGCCACTTAGATGCAAGAAGGAAGGCAGAGGCATCTAGCAACTACAAAAGTCAGTTTTTAGCGAACATGAGGTAAGTATCAATATTAGCTACAAGTTTTCATAAATTAATGGATAATTATTGAGCAAGTTTTATTGTCAAACTCTTGGTCGTTTATGAGAAGCAGCGTTCTTTTTTAATGTGGTTCTACGATACTATCACTGTGCAACTATTAACAAGTTTTCATTTTATTCGTTAATGGACCAGAAAGATACTTCAGCTAACCAGAATGCTTGTCTTTACAATTAGTAGACATATTGGACAATGAATTTTATTTCTTTCGTGTTTTGACTAAGAGTCGGAACAGGAAAGAGCATATCAAAATTAACATGCCATAATATGGTTGCAAAATATTTAGTTTCATTAAATATTCAGTAGATATAGCAATGGATGGAATGGCGTGGCAAAAATTAGCACATATTCTAAAACGTAATACTTTTAATGAATTTAAAAGATTAGCGATTTGATATTGTTTAAATTCTTGTTCTAAAAACTTAAACGGTTAAAGGGGCCGTATTGATGACAATATTTAAATGACATACACATGGCTCTATCTAACCGCCTAAATGAATGGGGCTTAACTCAGACATTCGAAAACATTTCTTTCATGTAGTAATTGTGTTCCCAGTTCCCACGTTTAATTGATTTTTGTATTTCATTTAATTATTTTTAGGATAGTAGTTAGCATGATGACTTACATTAAATTCCAGCTTGAAATTTTTTTTGGAGATTATGAATTATTTGATGAATTAAGTTGTTTTGCTGAAATCACTCTCTCTCTCTCTCTCTCTCTCTCTCTCTCTCTCTCTCTCTGTTATGTCAGTCATGAGCTGCGAACACCTATGGCTGCAGTGATTGGACTACTGGATATTCTTATAGGCGACGATTGTCTGACAAATGAACAATATGCAATGATTACACAGATTCGTAAATGTTCTACTGCTTTGCTCCGGCTTCTCAACAATATTTTGGACCTCAGTAAGGTAACTTGTAAAAGAATGTTTCTCATGTTCATGCGAGCAAGTTCTTTGGTTTATACTAGGCATATAGTTGTCATATTGACATGTCACACGACAAAGTAAAAACTTAAGCAAGCATAAATAGAAAACTTTTGGTACCTTTTTTTATTGGGAATATTAGGGCTGAGCTTCAAAAGTGAGGTTATGGATCCCTTACCTATTTAAATTAATGAATCTAATGCTTCCACATGATAAAAATCATTAATGAGAACATTAAAATCACACATGACTTTCATGACTTAAAGCTAGAGGGCAAACCGTCAAACCATTTTGCACTTAGCTTTAAGTCACGTGAAAGTTGCATGAAATTTTATGGTCCGTATTGACAATTTATGTCACTTAGGGACCCAAATTCACATATTTAGTGGGCAGGGGTTCCAGATCTCAATTTTGAAGGTTGAGGACTCAAAACCACAATACCTGAAAGGTAGGGGACCCTAGCCTTAAGTTTCCTAATTATTGTAGGAAGATAATGAATTAATTGGAGGAAAATTTCTACGAGAAGCTCAAAATAAGTATGCTTTCATTATATTTTGTTCTGGTCAAGGCACTAACATGTCATTGTTAATAGAAGAAATGAATTTGGGAGCTGCAAATTTGAACAGAAATACTTAGATTCAGCATTATCAATTTCAATAGAACTGATAATATTACGGCCTTTTGTTATACTATCTAGTCATCTTCAATACTACATGCCAAACATGCACAGTTTGTATGATCAGCAGGAAAACTCACACGTCATCTGAAACTTTCTACAGGTAGAATCTGGAAAGGTCATACTAGAAGAAACTGAGTTTGATTTAGGTCGAGAACTTGAAGGGCTTATTGATATGTTCTCTGTCCAGTGCATTAACCATAACGTTGAGACTGTGCTTGATCTCTCTGGTATGATTTCTCCCTTTATCATATAGAAGTTTATGTTTTTTATCCTTGGCATCCATTATTAAATTCCAGCTTATAAGTTTCTAAATACACATTATTGTTGGTGATCTTCAATTACAGATGACATGCCAAAAGTTGTCCGAGGAGATTCTGGTAGAATTGTTCAAATTTTCGCAAACCTAATAAACAATTCTATCAAATTTACAACGTGTAAGTTTTTCCTTGTTGAATTTTATTCACTACTTTGTCACGGCTTTAAATGTAGAAACTCAAATTAATGTTTTTTAATATAAATAGGAAGTCAATGATTGCAAGTCATTGAACATGCTGATATGTTCTATAAAAATTATATTTAAGAAAAGAAAAACATAATAAAGGTTCCACTGGAGATTAAATCAAAGTTCTCTTTATAATATTTCCATGTTGAGTCTAAAGTTTTTCCTTGTTGAATTTTATTCACTACTTTGTCACGGCTTTAAATGTAGAAACTCAAATTAATGTTTTTTAATATAAATAGTAAGTCAATGATTGCAAGTCATTGAACATGCTGATATGTTCTATAAAAATTATATTTAAGAAAAGAAAAACATAATAAAGGTTCCACTGGAGATTAAATCAAAGTTCTCTTTATAATATTTCCATAGTTGTATACTTGTGACAGCGGGCTATGTCATTCTTCGGGGTTGGTGTGAGAATCCAGACATTGACAGTAATACAAGGATGTTATCCACCAATCAGATGGATTCCTGGTGGGCACAAAAGATGAAACTGAAGAGGCAGGGATGGCATGGGAAGAGAACATCCAAGAAAGATAACAAAATAATTCTTTGGTTCGAAGTTGATGACACTGGTTGCGGTATGAAGCTTAAGCAATATAAAAATATATGAATAACACTTAATTTACTGAGACATAATTAATCTTGTTTACAACTACTTTTTTATGTCTGACCTTTGTTTTTCTCTCTAGGGATTGATCCAAGCAAATGGGAATCTGTATTTGAAAGCTTCGAGCAAGCTGACCCTTCAACAACTCGGTTGTAAGCAATTTATAAGTCTAGATGTTTTCTACTGAGAGGCATAATTAAGGGTTATTTTTAACTCCTCCTATAATTATTCTTTTTATCCTACAAAAGCAACTCTTCGAATCAGCTGGAACTGAAGCACTGGGAAATAATATAACTGTTGGTTTCTTCTATTTTCAGGCATGGGGGCACTGGCCTTGGCCTGTGCATAGTACGAACCTTGGTGAGTTGAATAATTTTTGAGACCTAGTCTTTGAATTCAGAGATATGCATCTAAGAGAAGAAGTTTTATCTACAGCATGAGAAGGAATATGCTTGAGACTAAGCAACTTTATGTAGAGACATATTGACAAGTAACTTGAAGTTAATTTAACCTTAGCCAAACATGCAATGCACATGTATTGGAATCTGGTAGACCAAGTTAAATTATCAATTAGCTTTTTCAGTGATTCATAATGTGTTGGGCAAAACTATTACCGAAAATTTATATCATTCTGTACCTTTTGATTCTAGTTAAAGTCTTAAAGATGATATTGTTGCTAACAGGTCAACAAGATGAATGGAGAAATCAAAGTGGTAAGGAAGAGTGGACCAGGAACGCTGATGCAACTGTATCTGATTCTTAGCACACCAGCAGAGAGCACAAAACAGCAGTACCTATCGAATCTTGAAGAAAAGAATCTGACGGTGAGGAGAACTACTATTTATTTTTAGTTCTCTCTTTCCCCTCAAAAGTTTTCACTTTAACAACATATTAGTATGCTGATATATAATATACTAAACAACCCAGGCGTATTTTGTCCCGCTTGTAAAAGATGTCCTAAACAGCATTCAATTAGACAAGATTGCATACTAAAATGACTTTCACATTGTTACAAATTCCAAATTTTTCAGAAGTCCTAGCAATTAGTAATTAGTGAAGTTGGATGCAGGTGTTGCTTGCGCTTAATGGCAGAATGACCAGAATGATTATGAGTCAATGGTTGCAGAAAAATGGGCTGAACACCTATGAAGCATCTGATTGGAATGAGTTGACTCAAAATCTTCAGGAACTCTTCAAAGTACAAAGCCTAAATTCACTTTCAAAACCTGAAGAGTCAATCCTCCTAGATAGTATTGCCTCAGATTTGATCATAATTATTGACATTGGACTGCTTGACTTGAGCACTGATGTATGGAAGCAACAGCTCAACGTTCTACACGGATACTTTGGCAGAGTGAAATTCGCATGGATCTTAAACCACGAAATCTCCAATACCATTAAGACAGAGCTCCGTAGCAGAGGGCATCTGTTGATGGTTAATAGACCCATATACAAAGCAAAAATGATTCAGATTTTAGAAGCTGTCACACAGGACAGAAGTTTTCCGCTGCAAAACAATGTGAATGGTTTACAAACTACATTAGTGGAAAGACAACTCCATGAATGTCTTGAAATCGATTCTTTATGCTCTACTTCTGCCATATCAGATGATTCCGACAAGTCTGAGAAAGCGAGTTCTAATACTATAAGTGCACTTCATGGTGCAGAAAAGAGCAGTGAACATTTCTCTGAGGCACTTTCCCTGCAACGCATTATACGTAGTAATGGCTCTTCTTCTGACCTAACTCAGGTAAATTTAGAAGGCAGTGCTTCTGACATGGATGGTCTAGGTCAAAGAAGAACTAAAGAACAGCATTGGACTAGATCTTGTCCTGAAGATAAAGGTGGTGCATGCTTACATAAGGTAGTGAATGTACAAAAATCACTTGAGGGTCTATTCATACTTCTTGCAGAAGATACTCCAGTACTCCAAAGAGTTGCAACCATAATGCTGGAAAAAATGGGGGCTAAAGTTGTTGTTGTAGGAGATGGAATCCAGGCTGTTGATTCTCTGCAGTACTCAACTCATTCGAATGAGTATAGAAAGGAATCCCTCTTGGATAATGGCTACTTGAGAACCACTCAAACAGAAACATTGCCATATGACTTGGTTTTAATGGATTGTCAAGTAAGTTTATAAACTGTAGTATTAATAACGTTTTAGCATTAAATTTGTGTTCGCAAGAAAAACTTAAAATAAAAAAAAATCCAACCTTCTATCTCTAGAGAAGTTGCAAGTGTTGAAGACCAATTTAAATAAATAAATATGTTCCTTCTATATCAGCTTAAGCTCTTAGATGAAATGTTTCAAAATGGCATCAGAGCAAGGAGAGGTCCCAATTGAAGTCTCACCTTTACCTATTTCTGGAATACTGTTCATGTGTCAACTCTTGACGAAAAAATGAATTTGCGCGTGACACTGTGAGCTGTTGAAGACTAAAGCATGTAAATAAATGTGCCCTCTCTAATAATTTAAACTTTTAGATGAGATAGTTCAACATGAAGTGGAAATCTTTGTATACTCGTCTTCCTACCTTGACTAACTGATTATCATGTACTGATGTTAATTTTATGTAATTTAGTGTGGAGTGATTTGCACTAGAATCAAATTTCACAACCTTTTTGAATTGCAGATGCCAAAGATGGATGGCTATGAAGCAACAAGGGCTATCAGAAAATTAGAATTGGGAACTGGTTTACATATCCCGATTGTTGCACTAACCGCTCATGCCATGTCTTCGGACGAAGCAAAATGCTTGGAAGTTGGTATGGATGCTTATCTTACAAAGCCAATTGACTGTAAACTCATGGTTTCCACCATCCTTTCCTTAACTGAGAGAATAGTCTGATCATGAACCTTTGAACTGCTCCAGTTCTGGTGGTTATATAATTAGGAAAATAAGAAAAGGTATTAAAATGGAGAAAAAGAAAAAATAACAAAATAAATAAGCTCATGCTCAGTTTTGATGTATATAATAGAATAGCGATTTAGTTCTTGAAGTACTAGTATCTAATATTTTTCTTCTACATATGTGTATATCAAGCATGTTATTTCATATTCTGAGTGTTTAGAGTTGTGTTTGTTTACGTGTCAGTATATTTGTATAATATGTTTTGAACTGCAAAACTTACTAATGAAAGTAAATATCTCTCTTCATTTATTATAAGTAGATCTTATTTGAAATTTGTGGAAATTATCTCTGCTAGGACATGCTGTGGTATTTTGACCAAAAGTGGAAAAATTAAATAATTATTTGTGAATTAAATGAAGAATCTACCAGTATGGTTCATCATATATAGAAAATTGTAGTGGACATATGTAGAAATAGTAAAATAAATCATGACCTTAAAATTTGAAAAGAATGCAAATCCCTAATTTTTGGTATCAAAATCAGTATTGGTATATAGAGTACAAAGTTAAGTTGATATAGTTTTATTTGTCATTGCTTTGACAAAATAAGATTAGTTTCTTGATTGAAGTTGTTGACATGGGAAATTATTGGGAGGTTCACATTAAGGGTAAAATCTACCTTCTTAAGTTCACTGTCTCTGCAAAAAACAGCCAACTTGCAAGTCTACTCAGCCTTTTGCAAAGATGAAATGATGATTAATACAATTTCTTGACTGCGAAATTGGACGGAATTCGTCATTGTGAACTTCTTACAAGCTTTGAAGATTATGGAACTGTTTTGGCTGGGGTAAGATTTTTGTGTTTACCTTACTGAATTCAATATTTGCACCAAAGAACTTCATAGAGAATGAAATAGTAGATACTAATGCGTATTAACCTTTTAGTATTGAAGCACGAAGTATGTAAGAATATTTCTTCTCTGGGTATGGACATGAATAAAATCTCCGATGGTGAATTTAAAGAATCTATGTATCAAATAACTCAATTTCTTAAGAAAAGGGATGGGGGATTGTTTGAAAGATACATACAGAAGAATAGGAAGGACCAATATTTGGTTAATTCTCTTCTGTTTATTAACAGCAGCATACAAGTAAAGTTGTTTGTAAAGGGAAAATTGTTAGAAGCTTCTCAGGTGCTGATGTGGCAGATTTTGATTGGTTGTTTTAAATCTGCTTTTTTGTGCAAAGTCCAATGAAATTCTGCCACTTGGCATTCTGTGATACCGTCTGACATTTTCCCTTCTACATGTAGCATCTCCCTTTTGCCAATATTTTCTATTATTTATGGATAATAATCTTGAAGTCGAAGTGAATCCCAACTAGCTCCAACTGACTGGCTGTAATCTCTGAAGAATGAATGGAAGAAATTTTCTTCCCTTTTGCTACAGCATACTACAAATATAAATTCATCAATGCCTGGCATTGCAAAAGTATAATTTGTTGTTCATTGCTAGGGTAGCGAACAAAATATGCAATTCCTTTTGGATCATTGTTACAAACACGGCTAATAAACTCACATGGCTGGCAAGCAGAAATTTTCCAATCCATGTGGAACTCTTAATTTGTGGATATGTAGAAAAATGCATATGAAATGAGACATGAGAGAGGTTCGAGTTTACGCTAAGCAAAGCATGATGGGGGCGCAGTTCTTGCTGGAGGAAATGAGGTCTCTAAGGTTTCTGCGAGTCCTCTCTATCTCCTTTAGATACTCTTCATCCCCATTGCCATTGTCATACCTCTCTGTTTCTATTCTTCTTTGAATTGGTTAATGATGTTTTTCAGATTATGCTGTGTGGGATTTTAAAAGCATCAAATATCTGAGAATTATAAAGAAACAAACATAAAATCACTCAAAATTTATGTCAAAGTAAATAATAATTGAACTTAGCATCAAATGAAAAATAAAAGAAAAATTATGGAGGGAAGCCTAACACGTGATTACACTACCAACGAAGTAGCCCGGCCCCTGGTTTTGGCATAGGTCATCTAGGGCCCCAACTTATTTTCTTTCTTGAATTACCAATGAGGAAATTACACTCACACCTACTTTTCAACTTTCCGTTTTGTTAGAATTAGGGTGATCCGAATTCTATTTGGAAGATAATTGCGAATTCTAATTAAAGTCGAATTTAGAAGAATTCTAATTGGAATGTTAATTTGGAATCCTATTATAAGTATATTTGACAAAGTCTAGTTGAAGTTCTATTTGAAAGCTCAATTGGAAGTTTGAAATTTGTATTGGACTTTAAAAGGTCAATATATGGACCATGGAGAATTTTCTGCGCTTTCGACCTACCACTGGAGTGACGCCATTAAAATTTTGTGCAGAGAGTTGGCGCTAACATCGCCCTCTTGGCACCCTCCTAGAGATTGAGAGGTGATTCGTCCGGCCTAGGCTCTTTTTCGCATTTTGAGCATTCATTTCCATCTATAACTCTGTTTTAGGGTTTGAAACATCCCCTATATTTGGCTCTTTTTCACAAGTTAGATAGGTTGTTTAACCTCATTACAAGTTAGACAAATTATAGATACAAAATCATTGTATTATTTCTCCATATTTTAGTACTTTCCTCTGCATATTATCTTGTTCTTGAGTTTGTGATCAATTAGTTCATATTGTGCTATATTTTCTTTTCTCGCCTATTATTACAACAAATTGGTATTAAAGCATACCAGTATCTTCTTGTTGTTTATAGAAATTGGTATCGGTGCTAATGTTTTATTTATAGGGAGAGACTGATTTTTGTAATGGCAACCATAGAGTTTGATATTCTACTTTTAGATCACAGTACAAGATTTTCATTTTGGCAGATTAGATGCGAGTAGTGCTCACTTATATGGGATGCTTTTGTTGTGTTTTTTACCCGCTTCAAATTTTTTGTTTAGAGACACTTTTTATATAATTGTGATGCTCTCATCATTGAAGAAGTCTATGATACTGTACTTTCAGAGGAGAAGACCAAGCATATTGTTGAGGTTCATAGAGATGGCCTTCTTCTTAATAGTGGTCGTGCAATGGGCAATTTAATGTCTAACTTCAAATTATTATTATTGCAAGAAGAATTGACATTTGATAAAGAATTGTTATAAGTTGTAGAATAAAGAAAAATTGACTGCAAATCAACAATCAAAACATCAGGAAATATAGTATTGCAAAAAATCGTCATGATGATGGAAAAATTTTACTTATTTCTGACTATGACTTCAAACTTGATGAGGATTTGATTCTTGATAAAACTTGCACTTTTCGTATGTGTCTTAATCAGGATTTATTTTCAATATATGAAATAGTTTCGAAAGGTGTTATGGTAATGGAGAATAATATACCTTGTAGGATAGCTGGTATTGGCCATGTTAGAATAAATATATTTGATAGGATGGTTAGAACACTTGATACAGTGAGACACATTCCAGATTTGAAGAGAGATCTTCCTCTTTGAGCATTCTTGATTTAGAAAGGTACAAGTACATTGTTGAAAGTGGAGTCCTGGAAGTTAGGAAATGGGCCCATATTTCGTTGAAAGGACATAGAATATCCTCGTTATATGTCTTGCGGTGTTACACAAAATCTTTGATCAACTAACATATTTTAAGAACTTGGGTGGATTTGGAGTTGGATTTTGTACTGTTGGAGTCTTGTTTTGGATGTTTTTTGAAGAATACATCTCACTTGAGTTTAGAAGTTATGGGTAATTTTGTTTTGCCACCATTATCGAGATACCATTATATTCAGTTGCCGTAACAAGCCCATTTTTTATTTTAAGCCTCCTCATAGGCATAATACTACTGATTTAGTTGATTATGGTTTTAAAATGGTTAAGGTTGTTGATTTTAGCCAAGATCCTTATTTTGATGCATTCAGTTGTAGTGATTTTATTTCAACGCTTGTTTCTACCATGTTTGGTTATGTCCAAGCACAGTGTTTGAAATTTTAATAATACTCAATTATTGAGTTTTGCCTTAGTTAGGTGGCTGAGTTTTGGAGAATATTTCCAATTGAAAATTTTGATGGAGAATTTCACTTGAATGTTTTGTTGAAGAGTTGAAATTTATTCCTTGCAGTGGGATTTGTCTCCATGTGGAGAATCCTTAGTAAAATTTGTATCAATGTGGAGTTTGTTGAGTTTATTAATTGCAATAAAATTCGTGGCAATCTGGAATTTGTCTCCATATGGAGATTCCTTGAAGGTTATTGGGTTTTGCCTTAGTTGGGTGTGATCCGAATTCTAGTTGGAAGATAATTGAGATTTCTAATTAAAGTCGATTTAAGGAGAATTCTATTTAGAATGCTATTTTGTAATCCTTTTCAAAAATCTATTTGGCAAATTCTAGTTGAAATTTTATTTGTAAGCCCAATTGAAAGTTTGAATTTGTGTTGGATTTGAAAATGTAAAGATATGACCATTGAGAAATTTTCGGCGCTTTCTTGCTAGCTAACCGCTAGCCTATAGCTCCAGTGACGCCGTCGAAATTTTTTGTAGAGAGCTGATGCCCGCTTAGCGTTAACCTAGCACTCAAGTGGAGCCGAGCTCGAGCGGCAACTCGAACAGCTCCAGTCTATTTTCACGTTTTGAGTATTCATTTTTATCTATAACTCTACTTTTAGATCTTGAAAGCATTCCTTATATGTATTTTACTCTTCTCTACAAGTTAAATATGTTGGTTAACATCATTACAGGTTAGATAAATTATAAGAACAAAATTTTGTTTTTCCTCCATATTTTAGTGAAATCTCATTCCCTTTGCAAATTATGTGGTTATTGAGTTTGTGATCAATTGCTTCATATTGTACCATATTTTTTTTTCTCTCCTATTATTACAACAAATTGGTATCACTTCAATCCAGTATCTTCTTTTTTGTTTATAACACATTTCAATAATCAGATAAAAAGGTTTTTCTTTCAAAATTCATGTGTACCCTATCACACCCCACCCACACACTTCTACACCATAATCTACCAACCTAACCCTGATTCATTTTTCCAAATCGAAAGGTTCAACTTCTCCCAACTGCTGGCACCGTTGTTTTCGAAGCTACTGTTCCAATTTTCTTCGTCTTCAGGTCGATGCTGCTTCCAACAGGGACGACTAGCGCCGTGTTGTAGTAGCACCTCTCCTTTCATGAAGCTGTTGTTCCGATCTTTTTCTTCTTAAGGTCGACGTCGCTTCCAACAGTGACGACGAGCTCTGCTGCACATCTTGCTCTCTCATTTTCCCCCTTCATTAAGTTGTTTTTCCAATCTTCTTCTTTATGAAGCAGCGGAGCCCATCACCGCTTGTGGTAGAGCGGTGCCTAGTCGTTGTGAGAGTACGCGACCCCACGTTGCTTCCTAGTTGTGGTGTATGCTATGGTGTTGGTGGGGGCAATGTTTGTGCTGTTGTAGGTTGTGGAGCGATGCTATTGGTCGGGCAATATTGTGTCTATGGTGGTGTAAATCTGCAGTGGTGGTGGTAGTTTGTGTGTGTTGGTACTTGGTAGCGCAGTAGTTCTCGTGGTGTGGTGGATGTAGGTAGGGCGTGGTGGTGGTTGGAGGGCTGTCGATCTGAGGCAACAGCATTTTTTGGGTGGTGCCAACTATGACAGAGGTGATCGGTTTACGTAGGTGGGAGAGATAAGGGTAATTTGTAATCATTCAATTGGATAATGGTGATCGACTAATTTGATAAATTCTGATCAAGAAATAAGTTGTGATCAATTAATTTTATGTGATAATTTGTGATCGATAAATAAGTAGTAAGTTATAAAATTTATGACTAACATTCTGTAATTGTGACTAATACGTAATTATGACCATAAATTGTATGTTATTGTGAACTTAACCAATTTAATTATCTATTTAATTAATAAAAATTATTTAATTATCGACTTAATTAACACCACTTGATTTTTGAAAAAAATATACAAGTTTTTCAAAGGCATTTTTCTCATTATTTTGAGACATGATAATTTCATTTATTTTTCTAATTTTTAAATAGTTGAACTAATAATGCTATGTAGTTCTTCTAGTAGTCTATGCGGAAATGGAATCTTACTAACAACATTGTACTTAAAAGTCGTCATGTATTTTGTTCATTACTTAATGAATAATTAATTTTAAACTAAAATCAGCTTTATTAAGAGCCTGTTTGGGAGTGATTTCGAGAATTAATTTTTTGACTGTTAGGAAAAAAGTGGGGTTCACCTGTAAGAAAAGAAGTCAAATATGACGTTTGGAATAATGAAATAATGAAAAAAATCACTCACAAACAGGCTCTAAAAATAAGACTAAAAGATACATCTAAAATATTTGTATTTCATTCGTTGTTTAGCTTAAAACCCCAAACACATTTTTAAGAAATCTTATAGGGTAGAATTGTACTTGGAAATAGAAAGGCATAAAAAACTTATATTAGGAACAGCGAAATTCTAGGGTGTCAATTGAAAAAATTAAGAAAACAATGGTCTGCAAGCGGAAATAATTTTTTTTTACTTGCACAACGGCTAGTTTGTGAAACGGTAACTTGCAACGGGCAAAAAATTCAATTATATCCAATTCAAGAATGGACTGCCTTCTTGTCCTCCCTCGTTCTCTCTCTCTCTGCACTTTTCTCTGTGTTCATTTCTGCTCTCTGAAACCACCGCCATTTTTTCTGATTCCGTAATTCCTTCTTCTGAACTGCAAATAATTTAGTTATAAACAAAACCCGCAAAAATTGAAGATGATGAAGGAAATGTGGAATGTGCCACCCGGTTTTAGACCAACTAAATCGGCTCCTTCATCGCCAGCCAAACCTCTCGGTATTTCAAGAACTCGATCCGAATCCTTTCATGTCACTCACAAAGTCCCAGTTGGTCATAGCCCCTATGTCAGAGCCAAAAATGTTCAAGTAAGTTGCAGATTCCATTATTAAGTGTTTTTTTTTTTTTCATTGCTTGTTCTATTTTCCTTTTGACATATTGTGGATTTGGTGCTGAATTGAACCTATATTGTCTTTCTCTTGATATTCTTTTGTTATCAGTTAGTGGAGAAAGATCCAGAGAGGGCAATTCCATTGTTTTGGGCAGCAATTAATGCAGGAGATAGAGTGGATAGTGCTCTGAAAGATATGGCCATTGTGATGAAGCAGCAAAATAGGGCTGAAGAAGCCATTGAAGCAATTAAATCGCTGCGCCATCGCTGTTCAGATCAAGCTCAAGAGTCTCTTGACAACATTCTAGTGGACCTTTACAAGGTATACTACGAATTTTCCTCTTTAATTTATCTTGTTAACTGTATGTAGAGTCTTATCTTGATGATTTTCCACTTAACTTGAATGAATGCAGAGATGTGGAAGATTGGATGAGCAAGTAGCATTGTTGAGGCACAAATTGTATCTAATCCAGCAAGGGATGGCTTTCAACGGGAAGCGAACCAAGACAGCCAGATCCCAGGGGAAAAAATTTCAAGTTTCTGTGGAGCAAGAGGCCACTCGTTTGCTGGTACTAATCTATCTAAACAAATTTCGATTCTCTTATGCTGAATGGAATTGAATTAACAAACATTTTTTTCTCTTTTTTTGGGTTTTTGAAGGGGAACTTAGGATGGGCTTTGATGCAGCAAAACAATTACATTGAAGCAGAGGATGCTTACAGGAGGGCACTTTTGATTGCACCAGACAATAACAAAATGTGCAATATGGGCATTTGCTTGATGAAACAAGGGAGAATAGATGAGGCGAAAGAGACACTTAGAAGAGTGAAACCAGCCATGGCTGATGGCCCTAGAGGTGTTGATTCACATCTCAAGGCCTATGAGAGAGCACAGCAAATGCTTCAAGATCTTGAATCTGAGTTAATAAATAAGGGTGGAGATTGGGTCGAGCAGAGTAAGCTGTTCGATGCATTTCTGGGCTCTTCTGCAATCTGGCAGCCTCAACCTTGCAAGGAGCCCATCAGAAAGTTTTCAAAACCCGACAATGAATTTCCAGATGAGAATGTCAACTCTAACATCATAAAGAACCCAGCAGTTCCTCCTGTACAAAAAAGTGTCAGGACAGTGGTTCCATGGGGAAATTCACTCAATATCGATGCACCACCATTCTTTTCGTCCAAATTTGCTCCGCAATTTCCAGAGAGCCTTAAGAGAACAAGGTCTGGCAATGCTGAAAATTCAAGTGAAAATGAAATGGGAGGAAAGCAAATGATATCTTCTGCTCAGCTGGAAAATGAAATACAAAAGCCGGCATCCTCGATGGAGAAAACAGAAGATAAGTGGGCAGATTTGCTTCCTGACAGCGAGGATTTTGAAAATGCAATAATCGCTGCGGTTTTGGGTTCTGATAGTGAAACAAAGAAGGCAGAGGAAACAAGAAATGATGCTGGATTTCCTCAAAGGAAAGTAGACAAAAGGCTAAAGGTTTTCCAAGACATTACACTGTCTTTGAGTCCAAGGGCCTGACCACTACATTACATATTACAATATGACATTAGCTGTCTATTTTATATATTTTCTCATAAAATTTAGGTTGGAGATGTACTTATTCTCCTCAATTCTCATTCTTCAAGAGAAGGGATGATGCAATTCTGTTGTTATTTATTTATCTGTCCGCCTGGAAGAATTCCTCTAGTTTTATTCATGTTTACCCTTTATGCAACAATAAATAAAAATTCAATATTATTTTTTATCATGCTACTTCATATTCTCCAATTCATTTTAGTCATTTTGTGACAAAAATGCAGCCTGGGAAAATAGGTGATCAAATGTCAATGGATGACGACGGATTAAATCGTTTCTGAAACATTTATCACAGATTAGCTTGTTCAAATACCGCCATTTCAGTTTAAGGAAAAGACTCCAGACCGTGGCCTGCGTACGGAATCAACGCTCTATCTATCTAAGCAGCACACTATAAGTGAAGTTGATCATTTCAGTTATCTTTCAGTCTTTGCTGGAAATTGTTCGCTAAGAAAGTGCAAAAAGCAAGTACATGGGTTGCGTTTAAGTAATAAAATGGATTTTTAGTCCGAGTTGTCGATCTTTCGGGGAATGTTTACTTTAAATTTCATAACTTTAATCAATTCAATTTTAACAATAAAAACAAACACACAACAAAGATTTAGTTTTGGAAAATAACTAAAATTCTAAAAAAAAAAAAAGAAAACATAAACACTTGAAAATTTTGAAGGAAAACGTGGTTATTAGGATTCATGGTTTCGTTTAACCATAGCCAAATTAATTTCTCTATAGACCAATTAATAAATTACTCATTTACGATGTTGACCTGATTTCCAATTTTAGATAATTACGTCTCTCGAGCGAATTAACCCTGTATGTCGATTAAAACCAAACATTTGCATTAAGTCAACATTTACATTAAATCTTTGTGAAAATAACTCAATGGGTCACATATAGTTAGGGGTATATCTCTATCCACAGCAAAAACCTAGGATTTCTACTATTTGGTTTAAAATACACAATCTTCTATCAAACGATATGCAAATCACTAAACAGAATCATTCATTTGCCACATAACTGAAAATGCAAGAAATAACTATAGTAAAAATACATGAAAATAAGTAACTTAACATTAAAGCGCAAATATAAAAATTAATTAAAATTAGGTTAAGCTATTACCATAAATTCCAACACAAGAAACTAGCATAAAAATATATATATAATAATAATAATAATAATAATAAAGAAAAATATTTATCAAATACATCACAAATAATAGAAAATAATAAAGAAAATACAAGATTAAAGATAAATTCATTTTTGGTTGGATTTGATTGAATCTTGAGTTCGTCAATTCTTCTCCACCTTCTCTTTGATTTATTTTCCTTGTTGTGCTCTTGATTTTACCCTCAAATTATCAAGAAAAATGAAAGAGAAACAGGAAGACAGCAAGAAGGTCCAAATTGCTAGTTTTAAATTAAAAAAAAAAAGGGGGGGGGGGGGGGGGG